TCACTGGTTGTTTATATTTGCATTTTCTATACATGATAAAATTTTCAAAATATTTTGATTTGTTTTTAACTGTTTAGGGACATTTCCAGTTTCCAATTTTATTAGTTTTGTTTCTATGAATGTCAATAAAACTTTATTTGTTTTTTAAAAAAGCTTGAAAATTTAATGCAAGGCTCCTGATACTCCTTGTTACAATATCAGTTGAAAAATATTAAAAATTCATAGGCACAATTTTTTTTATAATGATTTAATGTTCAAATTTTGACAAAATGTATCAAATTAAAAATTTAATAATTATTTTGTAATTAAAAATTTATAAATTGTTCAAATTTTATAGCTAAGGATTGGAAATTTAAAGCATGGTTCCAAGTAAATAGGTTATAATATAATATAGTTACTTTATTCTCAATAAACCCGATTAAATTAGTCGTTTTTAAATGCATATGTGTATATTCTATCGCTATGATAAAATAAAATTGCCCACATAAACCGAACCGAGTATAGACATATTATGCGATTTTTTTTAACCTTGTTGGTATACATTGGAATTGGGACTACACCATTTTGCCCATATTAAGCGGATTCCCATATTAACCGGTGCCCACATTAAGCGGAATCCACTGTATTTCTTTTAATCCTATGGTAAACTCTAGTTTATATATAAGATAGCGTGATATATCAATGATATCTATAGTTTGATATATTTTTTTCTGTTTCGTAAAACGCATTATCCAACGAGTGCTATAGGATCTCCAACCAATTTTGAAAAATATTTAACACAAATTTAATTTTGAATATATTATTTTCATTTTTTTAAATGTTTGTTATATTAAAATATTAGGTATTGTAGCGGCCTCTGACCCGGTTTGGAATGACATTCGAGAATTATTATCTTCTTCTATGACTAACAAAGCTATACACCTATTTGTCTATGAAGGTAGGCATGGTATTTGGGAAAAGCTTGGTTTGCCTTGCGTTAAAACCCCTTCTTCTTGTACATCAATTGAAAAGCAACTAACACCCAATGAAGATGGTAATAGTTTGTAGTATAGTATTTAATAGTTTCAGTTCTAAAAAAAAATTATTTTTTTATTTTTTTTTTTGCATAGATTATTACAGTAGTAGTAGCAATAGTAGTGCTGGTAATTTGGGTATGCCTTCGAAAGAGTTTGTGATAACTTTTTCAGCTGATGAGTGGAATGAAATACAGCCACAGGAAGTACGTTACAAAATGAATGATCCATCAAAACCCTTGATGAGTTCAAAGTTAGCATTTCATTTTGTCTTTAGAATTAATTATAATTTATGGGTACCAATATATGGTAACAATTGTCATTTTAGATGTTATTATGCTTTGCCAAAATTAAGTTGGACACCAGTCTTAGCTGAACATTTTTGGGAACATACCCGGTTAAAATGTTGTTTGGCCTTTCGAAGAGCAAAAGTGACTTTGGGTGGAAATAATTATGTTGTGGTTGTTGGTAGATGTTCAACATGTCACTCATACTTCAAAGGTACAATATCCGAAAGACCAGGTGTAAATTCAAGGTACGTGATATTTAGACTTACCTAATTATGTTAAATGTATGCTATTTATTTCTATGATATTTTATATTTTGGTTCATCAAAAAATCCAACGACTATAATGGTTAATTATCTTCAACTTTTGACATTATAGAGTGCTTATGAACTGTACTTACACTGGAAACTTCAATGAAGAACATAATATTAACCGCAAACGACGTATGATTGGCCCTGCGCTTAAAAAATCTTCAGTAGCAGTATTGAATAACTTGTCGTGTGAATCATATAGGGAAAGAGAATCTGTACGTCTAATGAAAATGGGTATTTACTATTTAATTTCTATTGGAATATTTTTAAAACGTGAACATATTTGAAAGAAATTTAAAGTTTTTGATTTTATTATTTTACCATTAAAAGTGTCAGACAAATAAAATGAAAAAAGTTTCCCATCACATTAATTTATAATAATTTTTAAAACATTAAATTACCTATAAAATTTACGGAAACGATTTAAATGTTTCTTTTTTAGAAGATTCAGTAGAAACTTGTATACAAAATAAATAAATAAATATTTTTCCAAAACAATAATTTTTACAAATTTTAAAAGTAATATAATAAAAATTATACTTTTTTTTAATATATAATTTATAGTCACTTGCGCTACACATATAGTATAACAGTTTTTTATTTATATTTTTTATTAAATACTGATTGTTTATGAAATATAGGTGATAAATATTATTTTAATTCATTATTTTTTAAAATTATCTAAATTGAAAAATTTTTCATAGCAATTAATTTGCTTAGTATTGTATTGTCAGTGTTTTGGAAAAAAATTGTGGGGGGTGACTGACAAAGTTTCCCAAAACTACAATTTTGATTGACAAAATCTGAAAATCAATTTTCAATAATTTGCAATTAGTTTACCAAATATTTGCAAAGGTTTGGATAATTCTTATGAAGTGTTGGTGTGCTAATTTCATGACCATGATCCAGGTACGTTATGTATTTATGTTTTACCTTTGTCATCAGGAGAACCTGAACCAGCCATTTTACCTACTGCGAATGCTTTACGTCTTCAAAAGTTCAAGCAAATTAAAGGTCAAAGAAGACATGACGATTCTTTAACAGCACTATCTTTTATGAAGCGTGAAGATGATTCTAAAAATATTATAAGGGATATGGGGTGCGATCCTTTTTTTGTTGACTATTACTCTAGTGAACAAATACATCTTTATCGATCTTATTGTAAACATGAACGATCCCCAAAACTTATTATTGATGCAACTGGTTCCGTTGTCAAGCAATTTAAGAAATTTGGTTTGGAAAAAACTAGTTCTGTTTTCCTGTATGATGGAGTCGTACATGATAAAGTTGCTGGCCACAGCTTTACTGCTTTAAATATGTTAAGCGAACGACATTCCAATCTTGCAATTGCTAGGTGGTTAGGACAATGGTGCGCTTGCGATGTACCAAAACCAAAAGAGAGCGTTTGCGACAACTCTTTGGCTCTATTATCAGCTCTCGCACAGATTTTCACGCAATACTCTTCCCTCCAAGACTATGTACGTGTGTGCGCGGATTTGCTGACAGGCCGTATTGCCGCAGAGATACAATGGATACCGAGATGTTTTATTAGGATTGACATAGCTCATTTTATAAAAATTGCTTGTAAATGGATTCCACTAAAGAGTTCCCCACGTAGAGTAAGAGAAGTAGTGTTAAGAGCAGTTGGACTTCTGATAAAAAGTCAATCGTTAATTGACATACGCTCAAGGTTGGTTTCGTTATTTGTCGTCCTATCAAACGAAACCGACGGCATTGGTATTAACGGACAATGTACACCATGTGAAGAACACAAGCAGCGTTTACTCCAAGCTACATCTACAGGATTTTACGGTGAGGATTTCATATCGTGGTACAGCATTAAAAATATACACGGTTTTTTTTTAAAAAAGAAAAAACGCAACACCCAATTATTTCACTAAAAAAGAAAAATATTCAATCGTGGTTATTTCATACATCATAAACGAAAAAATTAACTATACAGTATTAGAACTATTTTTTTTTTTTATAAAAAAATTTAATTAAATTAATTAATTTTTGATAATTTGTATAATACCACTTTTTTAGAATATAAATAGTACCTATAAATAAATAAGTAAATATATCTGCTATCAATAATTTGTCCAGTTGCATCTTTTCTTTTCATTTTGTAAAGATTGTCTGTATACAATTAATTCCTTAATAATTATATCCCCTAGTTAAATATACAAGATACATTTTTATAAAAATTGATAATATTTGTTTGGTAGAATCATCACACTTGCAATACAATTATTTTTAATTACCTAGTTATAAACAGTTTCAAAATACGTAAAAATGGTTTTTTAGTTAAAGATTAAGATATTTTTATTTAATTTTATGAAGTAACAAAAATTGAACACTTATTAATGTTATAATAACTAATTGTATTGCTTTTCATAAACTTTCAATTACTATCGTTTTAATGTTTTTTTTTTTGTTTTTAAAGATTTTCAGGAACAATTTAACCATGTACTAGCTTGTGCTACAGATGAAGATGAAGAACGCGTTTGTTTAGAACAAGAATATGATAGACAGAATGAGGGATTGGAACATTTTGATAATCCATTTCAAGCTTGGGCTAATACTATATATTGCGAAAGCAAATCCCTAATTGAAGAAGGAAATGGCATCAACCCTTTCTTCTGTCCTTCATTGGTTCCTATCATAATTAAAACTTTAAAGCTTCTTCCACTATGGTCGGGAGTAATGATCCCTATATTTGGATACGGCGAAGAAGTGGCATCGTCTGCAGTGGTCGAGTCTAGTTTTAGGAAATTAAAGTGTGTGACGTTCAAAAATATCCCTTTACCGACCAGCATTGAAACGTTCATCGAAAATCTTTCGGTACTAGCGGGACGTTTGAGTCCCGGACACTTTAACCGGTAATAGAAAATATGTGCATTTAGATATCGGTATGTTCTGGCCTGGCGGGACATCTGAGTCCCGTCTAATACACGTTGAAAAAAAAAAAGTGAAATATAATTATTCTTTGACTATTTATTTTACATTGTAGCAGGGGAAACCCAACCGTACTCTTATCTGCCAGTAATTGTATTTTTGTATTTATATTCTGCGTATATAATATGTTTACGGACGACGCTAATCGTTTGTTTATTTTTCAATACTTCTCAACAATGAAATAAAATATATTTGGCCGTCATATTATCAGTATTTACGAAAATAATTAAGATTTATGAACCGGGACTCAAATGTGCCGTCAGTCCGTACGTAATGTACGTATGTCGTATACGCTGTCGTGCGCTCTTGCTGTCGCGGTTCATAATATCAGTGTGTAATCGTCTCGTGTTCGGTGTTTTTTTTTTTTATTTCGCAAGTTTATGTTATTATGACTAATTAATTTGTGTGTCAATTTATTTTTTTAAATCAAAATGAATGCTAAAAGAATATCGGATCTTGAGGAATGGCTAGCAATAGATATACCCGACGGTGAAGATTCTGAAGATGAATATAATGTGGATGACATCTTGACTAACGAAGAAGCTCAAAATGAGGTAGAAAAACTTGATAAATATTTTTTACGTAATGAACAGCTTTCTGAAGTAACTGAACTAGTTAACAATGACGACTTTATTATTTTTGATTTTCCTGAAGGCAATAATCAAAATCAATGTACTTCGTCAGATTCGTCTATAATAGATACTAGAACTTTGAGGTCCCAAACTTCTCAAACGCCTATTGATGTAAATGTACCGGTTGATGGAGGTGTTATTCCTGAAAATATAGAACCTAATATCGAAATAAATCGACAGTGGAAAAAAAAAAATGAAATTACAGCTGATCTGCCCCAATATGACGTACAACAATTATTATATAATGAAAATATGTTTGCTGGTTGCAAAACTGCAACTGATGTTTTTCTAAAATTTATTCGCCCTATTGTCGACAATATAATTTTCCAAAGTAATCTTTACGCAACACAAAATAACAAAAATTTAAAACTAACTGAAAAAGAACTATATGCTTTTTTGGGAATAAATTTTTGCATGGGATACAATAAATTACCATCATATAAGTTATATTGGAATACTAGTGAAGATTTACATGTACGTTCGATTTCCAAAGCCATGTCTAGGGATCGATTTCTAGAAATATTATCAAATATTCACGTTAATGACAATGCGAATTTACCTAATAATAATAAAGATAAATTATATAAATTACGTCCTATGATCGATACTCTAAACAAAATTTTTCCCGAAGCATATTATGGAACTCGTGAATTAAGTGTTGACGAATCAATGATAAAATTTAAGGGGCGAAGCACAATTAAGCAGTATAATCCCATGAAGCCCATCAAACACGGTTATAAATTATGGTGCATTGCGGATCTAAATGGTTACATTTTGAAATATTCAGTATACCAAGGCAAAAATGAAACTTTGGAACAAGAGTTCGATAAGTATAATTTGGGCGAAAGAGTAGTACTTATGTTGACTAAACCTTTTTGGAAACAACAAAGAATTATAATGTTTGATAATTATTTTACATCAATTACACTTTTGGAAAGATTAAAAAATGAACAAACATTGGCTTGTGGTACTATACGAAATAATCGTAAAGGAATGCCACAAAATCTAAAAAAAGATTCGGATATTAAGCGTGGAGATTTCGACCATAGATTTTCTACTTCTGGAATCGTCATATTTAAATGGAAAGATAATAAAGTTGTGTACTTGGCATCAAACTATCATGGTAATGAAACTACGACTGTACAACGAACTTCAAAAGATGGCTCAAAATCAAATGTTACGTGTCCGACTTTGGTAAAAGACTACAATGCGTTCATGGGAGGAGTAGACCACGCGGACCGACTGCGAGCTTTATATTGTGTTGATCGAAAATCAAAGAAGTGGTGGTTACGAATTTTCTGGGGCCTTCTGGACATAGTTTTTGTAAATGCACACGTTGTGTATTGTCAAATTTTTGGACAAACGGATGTATTAGAAGTTCGACGTTCAATCGCCCTCGGACTTATGGCTGAGTGTGACCCAACTTCCAAAAGGTCAATATGCATAAAAAGAACTCCCCCGACTGCTCCTAACAATCGAAGGAAAAAAGCTATGTCCATTGTTAAAGACGTGAGATTGGGTAATAGGTATGACATCACAAAATAATATATTATACTATGTATTATAAGGTATACATTTGTTTTGCATATTTTTCAGAGGTATTCATTGGCCAGCTTTCGGATCAAAAAGGGGAAGGTGTGAACTATGTATTATAAGAGGAGTGGAGTCACGACCAAAATCAACTTGTAATCATTGTCGTGTGTTTTTATGTTGTAATGAAAAAAAAAATTGTTTTGTTGATTACCACCAAATAGATATAAATAATAAGTAATTATATTTTAACATTTAAGTACATAGTACACATTATTATAATAAAATACAACTTTCTAAACAATTGTTTTATTTATTGATACTTCATTTTTATTTTGTAATTTAAAAATTAAAATGTTTTTCATATTTTACAATCAGAAATATGAATTCAAAATCGGTATGCACAGAGCGCTGGCGGGACATATGAGTCCCGGTCAAAATAGTGGAGGGAGGGACAAAAAAAAAATTTTGAAAAAAATTGGAGACCTTAAGTGGACCACAATAAAAAATTCTGTCAAAAAAAATTTTTACTTTTTTCATTTTTTTCTCATAGACGGACTCAAAAGGTTAAAGGGGGCATCGCTAATTAGAGCAGCTGTATACCATAATCAATTACAAGCAAATTCATCATGAAATTATTTATATTTAATAATATTCCTCCATGGATGCTAGGTACAATATCAATATTCATATTTATATATAATAAAAAAAATTAACTGTTGTTGCAAAAATATGTATAAAATACCAAATTATATTGAACAGATGATAAACACTATTGGTAGGTACACCGTACACGTTGAACAGTCGTCGTTACACACTAAGTACCTACTATACGATATACCTTCATATGGGCTTGGTACATCAATAAAAATACTAGATAAAGTAATCGAAAAGATAATCATTATCTTTACTTCGACTAAAAAACCCATTCGACCACAAAATATTTCGACTATATTAATAAAATATTCGATCATCTGTTTTTCGACCAAAAAAAGATTCGATCACATGACATTTCGATCGCTTTTTTTCGATCACTAAACCTTCAACCAAATGGCCATCTACCAAATGACTCGCACCGTAGCCAAACATAAATATAAAACGTGCATGTCATTAGTCTTAAGTAGGTACTTGGTAAATTTAAAGTCGGCAAAGACCGAAATTTTAAACGATTTGTTCCTGGACTTCGGCATGACTCATCAAAATGTTTTAAACAAATTAAATATTTTTTTATGACATTCTCTTTGGTAATATTTTTCAAATTGGGATTTCCAGTTCTTTCAACCTATGCTTTAAAATCATCATCAATTTTAGGAAATTGTTTTTTTTTGGTACATTACCAAAACTATCACATCCCAAAACACAACACCTATTGGAAGGCATTTCTAGAAACAAACAGGTGACATATCATTAGTATAATAATAAATGAGTATAATTGTTAATAAATAGTAAATATTTTTAGTTATGAGTTCTGACTGTAGCCTTCTTGGTTCTTTAGCCAAAACGTTTTTGCTATGCTGTGCGTATGTAAGCGTCCTCTTAAATACAAATTGAAACACGATTGCATACAATTTGTACCTATATTATTCCTTATTAATGATTTAGAACTATATTAAATAGGTATATTAAAGCCAATATTTTAACTTTAAGTTAAGTATTTATTTCTACCAAAAATATTCTTAGTTATAGCAACTGAAAAAATAATACAATAATACTTATAAACTCATATTAACTATTGAATCTTCGTAATTCCTTAGAGTTTATTTCTTTAGGTTCTTGTTATGATTTTCTTCTTACTTACTTCGAAGTTTTGAACTTAAAGTTTAAATAGCGAATCGTAAAAAAAGAACATCAATGGAGGCAATGAGGCATGGAGCGCCGAGGCAGATGATTCTTTTTCTATGGATGAAACCTAACCACAAATTTTAGTATTTTACAAACATATTTTCCGTTCCAAACTTATATTCATTTTATTCCATGAATTGAACTGTGGCGCTGCATGCGGATTTCTTCAATGGAGTGCATTAAATTGTACCACTATTGCTATATAGTTAACACCCCCTGGCGAGAACCATAAAGCGGTGGACTGCAAGACGCCACCAACTTGTGCAGCCTGCAAAGACTTAAAGGAAAACACCGATCACTACCCAGGCATTGGCAAATGCACCGCATACCGGAACGCAACGGCCAACAAGAGAGCGAAATCACACACAGAGCGAAGGGAGTCATCGAACGCAGATGGCGCCCCGAACCAAAACCAAGATGCATAAGTTCCTCCAAATCAACCTGAACTGCTGCAAAGCAGCTCAGGCTCTGATGCATCAGACTGCATTAGAAGAAAAAGTGGACTTCATACTCGCAAGCGAACTGCACAGAAAAGAAGGACCAAACTGGTACGTCGAGGCAACGGCCAAGGCGGCCATTGTAAACGTACAAAAATCAAGACAGGACAACGAGGGAACAGGAGAAGCAGGCTTCAGGTGGGTAGAAATACACGGCCTAAAACTGTACTCCTGTTACTGGTCTCCGAACTCTACCATTCAGGACTTCAAGGACTTTATAACTAGGCTAGAGAGGTCAATACAGAATAACGTAACAGAGATCCTCCTCACAGGGGACTTTAACGCGAAACACACAGACTGGGCTGCCCGAGAAACGATAAGAGAGGCGACATCCTAATGGACATGATCAACTCCGCCGGAATGGTGATCTGCAACAGGGGAAATGAAAGAACCCACAACAAGGGTTCGATCATCGACTTAACAATAGCTACCCCACGCACGGCCCAAAGAATGATCAACTGGAAAATTATGGACAGAGAGAAGCTAAGTGACCATCATTACATCCTGTTTGAAGTCACAGCCGTAAAACCAAATACCGAGCCAAACAGGAAACCCAAGATCGATGTCAAAATGCTCGAAACGCTCCTATAATCGGACTACCTATCCCAAACCCTGAACAAGTACACGGAAGCAAAGCAGGGGGCACTGGCTCTCACAAAAGCCATAAACGAATGACGCCCGCCAGGCAAAATGGGAGTGAAGGCTAGGAAATCCGTGCATTGGTGGAGTCCGGAAATAAACACGCTAAGGAAAACTGCAAACCACACTCGAAGAGCCTTCCAGCGCAAGAGAAAGAAGCATGGCCAAGTTGGGAGCGTCATAGAAGAAACAAACGCGAAATAGTCAAGAGCATAGCAAAGCTAAATCCCGACGCACTAATCAACATTTACAACACCTGCCTCGAAGACGGGACCTTCCCAGAAACGTGGAAAACGGCAAGATTAGTCCTCATAAGAAAAGGAGACAAGCCCCTATTCGAGCCGTCCTCGTACAGGCCTCTATGTCTCTTAGACTGCCTCGGCAAGCTTCTGGAAAAGATAATGGACAACCGCCTAAGAGAATTCCTGGACACACACGATGGACTCCACGACAGAGAATTCGGCTTCCGGAAAGGGCGTTCTACCCTAGATGCACTGAACACTTTGGGAGACTCAATTAAGTCAAACAAAAAAATCGGTATTCTAACCTTGGATATCAAGAATGCGTTCAATTCCGCCCCTTGGAAGGCAATAACAGATGGGATGTACGAAAAGGAGGTCCCCGGATACATCCAGAATATAATTGGCAGTTACCTGGAAAACCGCTCTCTTGTATTCGGAGAAGACGGAAACGAGGAAAAAATAGATGTCACTTGCGGATTACCACAGGGGTCTGTCATAGGGCCCACCCTGTGGAACATCCTCTACGACGGCCTGCTGCGAACGCGACTACCAGCTATAGTGGAGTATCTGGCATTCGCGGACGACGTCGCCCTAGTCGCTATCGCTAAGGACTCCATCGACCTAGAACACCTCTCCTCCGAGGCAAAAATGGCAACTGGCTGACGAGTGTAGGCTTGTCTCTAGCTGAACAGAAGTGCGAGTCGATGATCATAACACAGACGAGAACACAACGACATGAACATCATCGTAAACGGGCACCACGAGCCATCCAGCAATTGTATAAAATACTTGGGTCTTCACATGGACAGCAAATGGAAATTCACCTACCACGCTATGATAGTTGCGACCAGGGCAGGAAACTGAAGAGACTGGCACGTATTATGCCCAACATTAGCTCCACGAGGCAGACAAAAAGAAAACTGCTGAGCAACGTGGCACACTCGGTGATGCTGTACGGAGCTCCAGTATGGTCAGATAAGATGAGCGCAATAGATTGGACCGAACTGCTGAAAGTGCAGAGACGCATATGCTCGAGAGTGGCCTCCGCCTACTGCACCACGTCACGAGAGGCAGTATTGGTAATCACGGGCATCCCCCTATTAAACCTGCTCGCAAAGGAAAGGAAACAACTACACGACAGGAAAACTAACAGAGAACAAGGACAACAGGAGGAAAACATCCTGGACACGTGGCAGGCCGAATGGGACAATTGCGGAAACGGGAGATGGACACACGCTCTCATCCCACAAATCGGGCCCCGGATAAACCGCCGACACGGAGAAACCAACTTCTCACAGAAGCCTAAGCGGTCACGGATGCTTCGCTGCAGACCTGAAGAGATTCGGCAAGCTAGATACTTCAGAATGCTGGTTCTGCGGTGATCCAAACGGCGATGCGGAACACACTATCTTCAAATGCGACGCTTGGTATGCGAGAAGGAGAGAAGTGGAAACGGAGCTGGAGACACACCTAAACCCCAACAACCTCATCCATACGATGCTCGCATCAAAGACAAACTGGGACATGATATCAGACATGATTAGACAAATCATGAGGAAGAAAGAAACCGAGGAAAGGAGAAGACAGGCTGCTCACTGAGGAGAGTACGAGATAACCAGGGCGGTGGACTAAGATCGGCCCTTGAAGACAGGACAAAGAACGGGAAAACCAGGGAGGCGGACTCCGGTCGGCCTGCCAAGAGGAGGAACCCGAAAACCCGGAAAAATAAAACGCACTTATTATAGTATCACTTAATAGTACAATGTAATTATTTATTATGTAATGTAAAGACCAATGTAAAAGGGGTAAGTACCGTATTGTCCAACTAAACCCCTTCTTTTTGGCCCCCGGCCGGTGTGTAATTTTTTGATTTTCAAAATAAATGATGGGTTGTGGGGGTGAAATGACCTTAGGGTTGGTACCACACCACGCCTTGATACCACGTAAAAAAAAAAAGGTTAGGTATATTTTATCTTCAGCCATACAGGCTATTTGTTAGTGGTATAATAAATGTCTTGTTG